TGGAGCAGCAGCAGCAGTTTGCTGCTGCTTCTTCTTCTGCCCCACAGCGCAGCCGACTGGGGGGCCCAGCCAGGGAGCAGCAGCAGCAGCAGCCGCCGCCGCCGCCGCCTCAGCAGCAGCAGCAGCAGCAGCAGAAACAGCAGCAACTGCAGCAGGAACAACAACAATAGATTAATAAAAATACTATGGACATATTCCGCCTGCTCAAGTGCTGTCACCGGCACCGAAACAGACGAAACACACAGACACCACAGGTAGGGTTGAGGGTTTAGGGTTTAGGGTTTAGGGTTTGCGAAACCCTAAACCCTAACCCTCCAAGGAGGAAATAACTATTCCTTTGTTTTTGAGTCTGTCTTTTTGTGCTGTCATCCCCGCCGCTGCTGTTCTTGCTGTCCCTGTCGCTGCTGCTGCTGCTGCTGCTGCTGCTGCTGCTGAAAGCTGAGAGTGAGCAGGGCTGACGCTTCAACCCTAAGCCGCAAACCCTTGACTCAATACGGTGTAGGGTTTAGGGTTTAGGGTTTAGGATTTCGGCTGTGTGAAGTCCGTGCAGTACGACGCGGAGCCTCCTCCTGAAACCCGACCGGCGCAGCAGCAGCAGCAGCAGCAGCAGCAACAGCAGCAGCAGCTGCTGCAACCAGCGTACAAACAGCAACCCAAGCAGCAGCAGCAGCAGTCACTGCGTCATCCCCCCGATTCCTCCTCCCAGGGGTCTCTCAGGCTTCCAAGTGCAGCAGAAACAGCAGCAGCGTGGCCGCCTGCTGCAGCATCAGCAGCAGCAGACACCGCAGCAGCAGGGCCCCACTCAGCAGCAGCTCCAACAGCAGGAAGTGCAGCAGAAGCAGCAGCAGCAGCAAAACTGAGGGAAGTAGCTGCATATGGAACACGGGATATAGAAACATCCGACGCAGCAGAGGCTGAAATCAAAGCAGCAATTGCTGCTGCTGCTGCTGCTGCTGCTGCTGCTGCTGCAGAAAGAGATCTGAACGCAGCGACAGCAGCAGCAGAAGCTGCAGCAGCAGCAGAGCTCTATTCAGCAAAAAGAGAAGCAGAAGAAGAAACTCAAAGAGAGGAGACGACAGCAGCAGCAGAAACAGCAGCAGAAGCAGCAGAATCCGAGGCCGCAAGAACTGCAGCAGCAGCAGGACCGGATACAGGTGAAGCAGCAACAGCAGAAGCAACAGAAGCAGCAGCAGCAAAGGCAGCGGGGGCAGCTAAAGCTGGAGCAGCAACGGAAACAGCAGCTGAGACTGCAGCGACAGAAGCAGCAGCTGCAGCAGCAGCAGCTGCAGCAGCAGCAGCAGCAGCCGACACAGCAGCAACAGAAGTTTCTACTGCAGCAGTACCTGTCCTAGCAGCGGGAACAGCAACAGCAGCTGCTGCTGGTACTGCAGCAAAGGCAGCAGCAGAAGCAGAAACAGCAGCAACACGCGAAGCAGAAATAGCCATAGCGGCTGCGGAAGCAGCAACAGCAGCAGCAGCAGCAGCAACAGCAGCGGCAGCTGAAACAGAAGCTGGCGCAGAGATAACAGCAGCAGCAGCAGCAGAAGCAGTAGCAGCAGCAGCAACAAAGATGGCTCCAGTAGGAGATCGTGCTGCGGCGTCTTCAGCAGCAGCACCAGGAAAGGCAGACGGAGCAGCAGCAGCAGCAGCAGCAACACCAGCAGCAGCAGCAGCAGCAGCAGAAAGAGAAATGGCTGTTGTGCCTCGCAGCGAGGATAGATCTGAAGGAAAGATGGGGGCGACGCTCTTCGACCTGCAGAGGGGCCTCTGCACCTTCAGGTTTTGGGGGCCCCACGTAGATGAAGCATGGGTGAGGGTTTAGGGTTTAGGGTTTAGGGTTTGGGGTTTGTTGTATAGGGTTGAGAATTCGGCTGTATGGGTTCTTTTAACAGAGCCAGGACTGCATACAAACACGTCTACGGCATAATATCTAGGGTGTAGGGTTTAGGGTTTAGGGTTTAGGGTTTAGTTTTGAGGGTTTAGGGTTTGTGAGGCTCAGGTGGAGATTGAGCGGGATAGTTTCGCCCTCGAAAAAGAAGAAGGTGACCAGTGGTCTGTTTGTCTTTCGGGTGTACGTCCAGGTGCTTCTTATCATTTTGTCTTTACTTCAAACTGCAATGATTGCTACCACCGAGAAGGAGAAATCCTTCATAGACGTGAGCTAGGGTTTAGGGTTTAGGGTTTAGGGTTTAGGGTTTGGGGTTTAGGGTTTAGGGTTCTTCGAGGCTAAGAGTTGGGCTCACAGCCCACGCAGGTCATGATGCCAGCGTCGGGTTTCCTGCTGCTGCTGCTGCTGCAGCAGGAGC